GAGGTTGCCCTTCGGTTTGAAAATTCAAAAGCTACCCCGAAAGTTCAAGCTCGTGCCTCATTACGAGATTCCCATACAAAAAGCAACGTTGAGATGGCCGCCCAGATCGCCGATCGCAGCAACGCCGCCATGAGCTTCAACAGCGGCGAGAGCGCACCTGAGCTGTCTAAGCTGGAGGCCACGCGCCTGGCACTGGCGCAGGAGCAGAAGAAGCGCATCGACGCCGCCGTGGCGCGCGTGACCGGCAAAAAAGAAGGCGGAAAGCGGAAGGGCCTGAGCTCGCCCGACACTGGCCACCGTAGCAAGAAGAGCAAGACGGTGGTGGACGTGGCCAGTGACCAGGTGGACAAGAAGAACTCGATCGCGCGTAGGATGGTGGACAGGTTCTCTGCTATGCCCGAGCCTGAACGCGAGCAGGATATTGACCAGCAGAACAAACCCACGACGCGCTCTGTGTCCACGCAGCAGTTTGTAGCTCGCTCTACGATGGTTGCCAGTCCGCCGGACAATGCGCTACGGTAGGACGCTACATAGAGGAAGAAGAAGGATGTAGGTAGAGGCTGACGGATTAAGTGTGTATTGTTGATGCTCCAGTGAGACGGCAGAGAAGGTGGTGACCACAACGGCTACGACGGTGGAAAAGGTAGTGGAGAAGAAAGAGAATGTTGATGAAGACGCTACTCCCGCTGAGGAGCAGGAAGAGGAGGACGAGAAGGACCAATGGGATGGACCCACCACCAACTACCACGTGAAGCAGCTCGGTCTGGACGATAAGGTGGACATTTACGCGCCTGTGGCACAGCAACAGCATGACGTACAACGCGTACGTGAGCGTGCCAAGTACATGCCTAGTATTAGCGGCGAGAGCATCAACACGATCAAGACATCGAGTGATTCGGAGGCCGATTCGGATTTCGCACCAAAGGAACGTCTTAGTCAGGAGAGTGAGGAGTCGGACGCTGTGTCGCTGCCTGAAGTTGACGCTAGCGAGACTCAAGCACTTGCTGAAGAGGCAGAGGAGTTCGATAAGCAGACTGCGATTCAGACGGCTGAAACTCATCGAACGTGGACCAAGCGGGTGTTCGTGTACACGCCGCTGTTTATTGTGGCAATTATTGTGCTAGTATTTGCTCTTCTCTTTGCGATCGACTGGTCACAGGAGACGTTCCAGTTCTGCGAGATTGATGCCAAGAGTGCAGAGGGTACGTTGTCCTGGTTTGTACAGCTTTTTGTGGATCTAGCTCTCACCTTTAATTGCTGAACGTGTAATCCTGTTGCTGCTGCAGGCTCCGAGGAGATTTTCTCGTGCGCTTCGTTTGTGCAAACTCAGTCGTTGATCAAGTCCACCCTTCGGCAGACTGCGGAGAAGGTGCAGGAGACAGTGCAGTCGTATTTCGAGTAAGCTGAAGCATGGATGTACCTGTCATTTGCCGCCGTGGTGCCAGCCGTCAAGGGAGTCCTGGAGCCGGCAGACAGGTAGGCAAGGGAGGATCTTCACCGCCGCGGCACAGCGGCGGATGCGGCCGGATATATTAGTAGTTTGCATTTGCATAGTGCGTTGATGGATTTGATAACTTAGGAGTAACACGGACACATGCCACCACAGCCACCACTAGATGCGTTGATGCAAGCAGAAGATCGCCACATGTGTAGCCATTTCTAATGCAAAAAAAACGTCAGCCAAGCAAAGTCGATATCATATTTCAAAGGGGACACTAACATCCACCCAATCACAAGTTCGTCTCATTTCCCATACAAAGGCCAAGTGCCCTGCCCCCGAGAGCTCCTTGATCATGGCGACCACCAAGACCGTGCTGTCCTTCGAGGGTGAGCGCGAGCTCGTGACGGAGGTGCGCGCCCACGAGTTGGTGCAGACATACGCGAATTCAGAGGCGCAACCGCCAGCCTTCACGCACATCACGCTGCGCAACAAGAGCTACACCATCGAAGCTGCTCATGTGATTGCTGCATTCTTCTCGCGTCTGGAGGCACGCGGCGCTTTCGCTCAGCTCACGAGCGTGGACTTTGCGGATATGATTGCTGGCCGCCCTGAAGACGAGGCGCTGCAGGTGTTGGCCACGCTCTGCGACGCGCTGAGCGCCATCAAGTCGCTGACGCGCATCGATCTGAGCGACAACGCTCTAGGCGAGAAGGGAGTGCGTGCCTGCTTCGGTCTGTTGCAGAACCAGGAGAAGCTGCAGCACATGTACTTCTGCAACAACGGTATCTCGGCTGCGGCTGCAGGCGTCATTGCCGAGGAGGTACTGCTGTTCCGCGGTCAGGACACCCCCACCAAGCTCGAGACCTTCCACTTCTACAACAACATGAGCGGCGACGGCGGCGCCATTGCATTGGCCAAGTTGTTGCCACTGTCGCCGGCGCTCAAGGACCTGAGATTCTCAGCCACGCGTGCCCAGAGGGAGGGAAGTCTGACGTTTGCGAAGGCTCTGGCTTCGCTCACGAAGCTCGAGAAACTCGACCTGAGTGACAACACCTTTAAGGCCCAGGGAGGCGAGGCTATTGCTGCTGCAGTCAAGAACATGCCCAACTTGGTGGAGATCAACCTTCGT